ACCCTCCACCTTACCAAACATGATATCCTTCTCCAGTGACTGGCCCTTCCTGACAATGTGTTCAAAGTATGAGAGATGAAGTTTGGCCATCTTGGCCTCCAAGGAGCACTCTGGTTTCACTTCTTCCAAAATGGATTTATTGGTTCTTTTGGCAGCCCATAGCACTTTAAATATTCTCCTCCAACACCATAATTCAAATGCATCAATTCTTCTACGGTCTTCCTTATTCACTGACCAGCTTTCACATGCATATGAAGTTATTGAAAATGCCATGGCTTGGGTCAGGTGCACTTTAGTTCTCAAGCTTACATCTTTGCTCTTCAACACTTTAAAAAGGTCTTGTGCAGCAGATTTGTCTAATTCAATATGTCGTTTGATTTCTTTACTGCTGCTTCCATGAGTGTTGATAATTGATCCAAGAAGAATGAAGTCCTTGACAACTTCAATCTTTTCTCCGAACATAACATTGTTGCTTATTGGTCCAGTGGTGAGAATTTTTGTTTTCTTTACATTGACATGTAACCCATACCAAAGGCTGTGCTCTTTGATCCTCATCAGTAAATGTTTTAAGTCCTCTTCATTTTCAGCAAGCAAGGTTGTATCATCTGCATATCGCAGGTTGTTAATGCGTCTTTCTCTAATCCTGATGCCACATTTTTCTCATATAACCCAGCTTCTCAGATTATTTGATCAGCATACAGGTTGAATAAATATGGTGAAAGAATACAACTTTGTCACACACCTTTCTTAATTTTAAAACATTCAATGTTCCCATGTTCTGCTCGAACAACTGCCTCTTGGTCCAGGTACAGATTCTTCATGAGTACAATTAAGTGTTTCAGAATACTCATACTTCGTAATGTTGTCCATAGCGTGTCATGATCCACACAACTGAAAGCCTTTTCATAGTCAATAAAGCACAGGTAAACATTTTTCTGATATTCTTTGCTTTCAGCCAAGATCCATCAGACATTAGCAATGATATCCCTCATTCCACAACCTCTTGTGAGTCTGGCTTGAACCTCTGGAAGTTCTCTGTCAATGTATGATTGTAGCCATTTCTGTATCACCTTTAGCAAAACTTTACTCACATGGGATATCAGAGATTGTCCAATAATTCTGCATTCCGTTGGGTCACCTCTCTTTGGAATGGACACAAATATGGATCTCTTCCAATCAGTAGGCCAGATAGTTGTCTTCCAATTTTTTTTTTTTTGGCAGAGATGAGTGAGTGTCTCCTGTGCCACCTCACTTTCTTGAAAGATTTCAACTTTTATTCTATCAATTCCTGGTGCCTTATTCTTTGCCAATTCCTTCAATGCACCTTGGACTTCCTCCTTCGGTATCATTGGCTCTGGATCATATGCTACCTCTTGAAACTGTTGAACATTAACCATTTCCGTTTGGACCGTGATTCTGTATTCTTTCTGCATCATTCAGTAATTTTCCCAGAGAATCTTTCAATTATGAAAGTCGAGGCTTGAATGTTTTTCTTCAGTTACCCCAGCTTGAGAAATGCTGAGCATGTTCTTCATTTTTGGTTTTCTGATTCCAGATCTTTACACATTTTGTTGTAATATGATAAAGTGTAGGGTCATCAAAAAAGAAGAAGACTCAAAGGCCCTCATTAAAATGGCTTGATATAGTGACAGCAGCAATGGGCCCAAACATAACAACAACTGTGAAGATGTTACAAAACCTGGTACTGTTTTGTTCTGTTGTGCGTAGCTTTGCTAAGAAGAGTTGGAATTGACTCGGTTGTATGAAACACAACAATCTTTTTTGTTGCAGTTCTACTCCATGAGTTGGAAATAATTCTATGGCAATAGGCTTTATTTTTGGTTTAATGAATCTCAGGAGTTATAAGACAGTTCAGAACCCTCTAGCCAGGCCACAGGAAAAAAATGAGGCTTTCTGCTCCCGTAAAGTTTTCCAGCCTTGGAAACCCTAAGCAGGGTTGCTATGACTGATTTGACATTCCTTACCAGCAACAACACCAATCTTTACAGAAGCAGACTGTCATATCTTAAATGACAAATGGCAAGGGGAAAGAGGAAATAAGGAAGGAGAAGAAGTAAAAAATAAGGAAGGAGAAGAAGTAAAAAAAGAAATTGTACTTTGTTGTATCTCTTTCCATTTTTCCTTTATGTGTCTTGGGTTTAAGGGAATGTTAAAATAATTATAATTATTTTTAAAGTTTTAGAAAATATCCCAGTGATTAAATGCTCTATAGCTCCAAAAGGAAAAATAAGTTAACTCTCTAAGAAATTGTTTTTCTTCTTCTGATTGAAGCATGGTTTCAACTGTGTTATAAAAATCAATAAAGAAAAGAGATTTAATCCCAGAGGGTATTTTTTGTGTGTATGTGTGGAAAATATTCCTAAAGCTCTTAAAATCTATAAATGAACATGTTGCCATTTTTGTGTGTGTGCTGTTGGATCAATTCTGACTCACAAAGATACTATGGGATTGGATGAAACTGCCCCATAGGGTTTCATATACTGTAATCTTTAGGGAAGCAGATCACTAGACCTTTTCTCTCCCAGAGCTGGTAGTGGATTCAATCTGCCTACCCTTTGACTACTTGGCCAGCAGTCAAAAGTTTAATCATTGTGCCACCAGGACTCCTTAAAACTAAAATATTTGTATTTAAATTCAGATATTTGAGATGGTACAAAATAGGTGTTTTACATATTAGAGTGGGCCATTATATAAATAACTATTATTTAATCTGGTCATCTAGGGTTGTTGTTGTTTTGTTGCTGTTAAATGCTGCCAAGTTGGGTCCAACTATTAGTGACACTGTATAGGGTTTCTGTGGAGTGGCTGGTGATTTTGAACTGCTGACCTTGTGGTTAGCAGCCATTCAGTGATTATTCTATAGTGCCACATGAAATATATAAATGCAGTATTATCAACCAAAATATGAATGCACATTAGCAGACAACGCCCTCCTTATCTTGAATATCTAGTGAGTTGAACTTATATTCATAGATACTCTCCATAAAGGTAATGGTTGTGCCATACCCATGCTCTCAAACATCGTTAGCTATGCATTTTCAAAATGGGATTCTAGTACTCTGACATAGCTTAAAGACTGAGGAAGCAATTGCTATTTTTGATTGTTGTAACCTGTGCATAATTATGTAATTACCTACTAAAATTTAGTCAGAGTGTTGCATATCTAAATCATTAACTTTAACAATTGACAAGCTGTTTTGATTAGTATTTTCATAGTGTAGGATAGCATACTTTTGTCAGCTTTCACATGATTAGTTATGATTGAGAATTTGTTTATGCAAAATATTTTCATTGCCTATTTAGGATAAAAGGAGAGGGAGAATGAGGGCAGAGGAGTCTTGTGCCTCTCTTTGGCAGACTCCCTCATGGGTCAACTCAAGAAATGTAAGTGATAAGTGAATGCATAAAAGCTACACGTTATCACTTCCCAAATGGCATATAATTTTAGAGTCAGATTAGAAAAGTGTCTAGAGGATTCAACCTGGGAGAATTGGGCTCTACATTGACAAATTAAACTAACAAGGACATCAGTGTACGTGGCATCAACTCAGACTGTCACACCCAACTCCCAAGCTGGCCAGGCAGCATGCCTGGAACAACACTGATCAATGCAGCTGCTCTTCTAAGGAAAATGCATGTCAATATATTTGTTATTTACTTTCCAGCAGAAACACAGCAGCTGCAGTAATTTTTGAGAGAATTCTCTGACACATCTCGTTTCCTATCAGCCCTAGGTGCTATTGACTGTATACACGCATTCTTATTAAGCTAACATCTATAAATGCAGTTAGACATTGGAATAGAAAATCCTTTAATTTCTTGGCTATGACTGGTCTGTGTGATGCCAAATTTCAGCTCTCTATGGAAGACAGAAAGTCCTGAGGACATGAAGCATTTCTTCAGGCAAATTGCCTGTGTTCAGTTGTTTGAAGTAAGCAATTACAAAAAAAAAAAAGAAGAAGAAGTGGCTGAGGGAATATTTTAAAGTAAAATTACAAACAAAAATACTTCCCTGGCTACTCTGCATATATTGTGTTTCCCATTTGAGGGAATATATTTAGCGTGGAGACAGCAGTGATCAACAGGGGCTAATGTAGATTATACATTTTAATTTTGAATAGAGAAATCATGTGTGATTTGCCACTGAGATTAGAACATTAGATCATCCTTCCAAGAGAATCCTCAGAGCAAAATGTACCCTTAACTCTCATTATTCTCATCTTTCTCTCTGTATTTTTATGACATCATGGTGGCAGTGGTGGTGGTGTGTCGTGGAGTCAGTTCTGACTCATAGCAACCCTGCATAAGGTTTCTGAGGCTGTAAACCTTTATGGGAGCAGAAAGCCTCATTTTTTTTCTCCTGCAGAATGGTTGTTAACTTCAAACTGCTGACCTTGAGGTTAGCAGGCCAACTCATAACTACTATGCTACAAGAGCTCCTTATGACATCATTGTTATTGTTGTTGTTAGGTGCCATCGAGTTGGTACCGACTCATAGCGACCTTATATGCACAGCAGAATGAAACACTGCCTGATCCTGGGCCAACCTCTCTACAGTTGCCACGCTTGAGTCCATCAGTTCTGCCATTTGACCAATCAATCTCGTTGGGGGTCTTCCTGTATTTCTCTGATCCTCCACCTTACCAAACATGATATCATTCTCCAGCGACTGGTCCCTCCCAACAACATGTCCAAAGTATGAGAGATGAAGTTTGTCTATCTTGGCCTCCAAGGAGCACTCTGGCTGCATGTCTAATGATAATATTCAGAGATGAAAAGCTTCAAGATGTGATAACCACCTTTTGTCTCTTTACCTAAAAAAGAAATAGAATTCTAAATGCAGCTGTGTGTGTGGTTTTTTTTTTTTTTTTTTTTTTGAAGCTGACTTTTAATAAGAAAGCACATTAGGGATAGGCCAGAAGGGGTGGAGCTGGATTGTCTGGTGTGGGGCGGCGGTGGTGCTGGGAAGGCCAGGATGTCTACACAAACTGCTGCTGCTGCTTCTTGGTGGCTGCCTTGTTGGCAAGGTCCTTAGCCTTTTCTGTAGCTGCCAGTGCCGTCTCCTTTTCCTTTTCCTTGGCTTCCTTGGCTGTTTCTACAAGTGTTTTAGAAGGGGCCTCACCTTGCAGCTTGGCCAAAATATATTCAAACCCCTTCATAGTCTTGGTCACATTGCTTTTAAACCCGGCCAGACCAAATTCCTGGACAGCTCTGGAGACGCCAAACAAGCTTGAGGAGACCCAGGCTTCCCGGTGAATTTCGGTCCAGCCACTGTGGGTCGGACCCGACTCGATGGCACTTAACAACAACAACAACTGTTATCAGAGTTCACACAGTAAACGCAGCGTTCCTCCACCACCATCAGCCGGGCATGGTTGATGTTCCAAGTGAAGGTGGCCATGGTCTGATTTTGTGGGTCCACAATAGAGTCCTCCAGGATGTACACCGAGTGAGCAACAATGGCAGGAGGAAACAGTCGCTCAGCCCAGCGGGGCATCCTGTTGGTCTTGGTCTGGAGTCGCCTGGACAGGAGCTTCTGGTCAGGGATCACCTCCCGGTGTACTATGTCCTCCGTCAAGACATGTTTGCCGTAGGGGTTCGGATACCGCTGCCAGAAGGCAGCGAACACTTGGTCCCAGGAACTCCGGAGCACGCTCTGGCCCAGGAAATACTTCACCATTGTCCCGGCAGGGCGGGCTCAGCACTCGCGCAGCATTAGGGGTGCGGAGCCCAGGGGCACGCGGAAGCCTGCCGGAGGTCGGCACACGCCCACTGGGCTCGCAGCTCAGTGAACACCGCACCGCGTCCAACCAGCCACCGCGGCCATGAGGAGTGGTCAGGGCGCACAATACTTCCGGCCTGTGTGTGTTTTTTTAGGGACGATTTTAAAATCAGATTAAGAATGCCAAACTCCACAATTGTAAATATTGATCTCTCAAAATTAGACATTTCTGTCTCCATGTCTCACAAGCATGAACATCTGCTCCATATTTCACAATAAGTCTCTTCCCCACAATCAGACACACAACTGTCTTTGAGATTACAAACTGAAGTATACTGTCTTTAAACCCTAGTAATTGAGCACATATGTAGAAATACCACTTCCTCACAGCCTCTTTTAATCTTATCTCTTTTAGTATAATTTGAATGTAAACTTTTCTTACAATTTCTTATAATTTGAATATAAACTTTTCTTACAATTTTAAGTCACCATCCTCTATTAATTTTTTCTAGCTTTTCTTAATTCTGTCTTGTCCATGACTCTGTAATCTCCAAACACCCAATGTAATCAAGTTAACCATGACTCACAGTGACAGAGTATAGCGCCCCCAATGGTTTCTAAGGTTGTACATTTTTATGGAAGCACACTTCCACATCTTTCTTCAATGGAACAGCTGTTGGGTTCTAACTGTGAACACTTAGTCACAGTGCCACCAGGACCCCTTTAACTCTCTAATGGTGGTTGGTGGTGGTTGTGTGCCACGGAGTTGATTCTGATTCATAGCATCCTTGTACAGGGTTTCTGAGACTGCAAATCTGTATGAGAGCAGAAATGATGACCTTGTAGTTAGCAGTTCAATGCTTATCCTAAACTGCCACACCAGGACTCTAGCACCACCATAGGACTCCTAATACTGCTCTAACCATTGCTAGCAATTATATATATATACCTTTCTGAAAAGTTAGAAAAGAAATTAACACTTAACTACTCTTCCTAGACAATATTATAAATTGAGTCTTGGTGAGACACTGTAGGATGAGAACTGTATAGCTAGCCACCAGGTTGGTGGTTCAAACCCCTTAGCTGCTCCTTGGAAACTCTATACAGGGTTATTATTACTCAGAACTGACTCAATGGCACTTAACAACAATACATTCCTTTGTGCAAATAGGAGTTGTATTTAATGATCTACCATAATCTTTTGTTTCCCAAACAAAATAATAATTCATCAATTTTAGTATTGTCTTTCCATGAACTACAGTAATACAAAGGCTTATAGTAAATTTGGAGGCAGCTAAATATGTTTCTTCTGCCAAGGAGGTCTACTATCCAATGACAGATACCAATAATAAAAATAAGTCAAATGTCCCTGGGTATGGCAAGTATAATGTATTGAAAGTCCTCCTGTGTAAGCATATCATATTTCATAAGGCTATTTTACAGGCTGAAGAATTAAACATTTGACTTTCAATTTTTTCTTTTTAGCCATAACACATTTGAAACTAATCTTTCAATAGAAACTCAGGTCTGAGATAACGTTCACATTGTTATAGTTGTTAAGTACCATCAAGTCAGTTCTGTCTCATAGTCATCTTGTATAGGGTTGCCCAAGAGTGACTGGTGGGAAGAGTAAAAAGGGAACCCACAGAATGGGAAAAAATCTTTTGCAATGACACATCAGGCAAGGGACTCATTTCTAAACTATATAGGAAACTGTAACACCTCTACAATAAAAAGACAAATAATCCAATTTAAAAATTGGCACAGAACATGAATGTCACCAAGGAGGAAATCCAGGCAGCCAACAAGCATATGAAGAAATGTTTATGATCACTAGCCATTAGAGAGAGATGTAAATCAAAACAACAATGAGATATCATCTCACACCAGTAATAATGGCCAAGATAAAAAAAGTAGAGGACAATAAATGCTGGTGAGGATGTGGAGAGACTGAGACGCTTCTGCATTGCTGATGGGATTGCAAAATGGTCCAACCTCTCTGGAAAGCAATATGGTGCTTCCTCAGAAGGTTGGAAGTAGAAATACCTTATGATCCATCAATTCCTCTACTTGGTATTCACCCACAAGAAATATGAGCCATCCAGCCTGGAGTGGCTAGAAGAACAGAAGATACTTCTTGAAAGAAAGATCTACAGGAAAAATACAAAACAATAGAGGCAGACTGACTGTTACTACAAGATCAAGCAAGTTGCTTGCTGAGAAAACATCAAGGCAAGTGGTCGGGTCCCCTCAGTACAAACCCCCTTCCAAGACTAAGACTCAATGGGAATACACACTCTGATTGGGGACCACGCTCATCACCGATAAGGGAAAGTGAGGGAAAAACAGCAATGAAGTGGCGTGCTAATCCCTACAATGTTCAATAGACTTCTGTGAACCCAGCAGTGTGGCAAGACTTGGGTACTCTTGGGTCCAGAGTCAGTGACATAGCCACAGACGACTAGAGTGGAGAGTGAAGAGTCCAGTGGATAAGAAGAGAGGGCATATGCACAAGAACACCCACACTTGCAGATAATACCCACTTGACCTGGTTTCAATGACTGGATGATCAGAGCTCAACCAGAAGAAGAAAAAGGAGGAAAAAAAAGAATAATCTGATAAAAGAGTAATCTGATAAAATTTGATGAACTTGACCTACACCTATGGATGCAGTAGCTCAAATGAGGGAACAAATCCTTACAGCAAGGATCATTCCCACCCCCTCCATACACAGAGTAGACAGGGATGGGTAATTTGGATATTGGCTATCCAAAATGGGGGTGCTACAAAGTCAAGAAGTGACTGGATTACAAGCTTTTGAGAGGGAACTTAGATTCAGAGGGCATGGAGGAAGGTAGACTCTCCACTGAGTAGTATACAATCTCTCTAGGCGGGGCTGATGAAATGAAATGTAGATGGATCTCTTGAGATACAATAGTGAATAATTGTTATCAGGACTGCTTGTGAGGGTTGGAATTGTAAAGGTAGATGTTTTATAGCAAGGAGGGGAGTGATTAACTTTTCAGCCTAGGAGCGGAGGTCCCTGGGACCATCAAGGGGGAAGAGCGGAGAACAGGACCCTACCCAGAGAAGCAGTGATGTCTGAGTTGGAGGCAGAGATGATGACGTGGAGAGATGGAGTAGCTGGGAACTTTAGATACAGAGAAGGAGAGGGGTTGTGTGCTGATGACCGGGGAGCAGGCTTGTAGCATATTTCCTTTGGTTGGTTGATGATGCAAGGAGGGGATTGTAACTATAGCAATGAAATGATATATAATAGGATAAATGCAAAACTAATGTTCTCCCAAGTAAACTATCACATAATTCACAATAAAACATTAAATAAATAAATAAATAAATTACATGAGTCAAAAAAAAAAAAAAAAAAGAAGCTGATTGCTAGTCCTTTCCTTTCAAGGCACCTCAGGGTGGGTTTGAAGAGCCAGTTTTTCAGTTTGTAGTCAAATGCCTAACCATTTTTGCCACCCAAAGACTCAAAACAAGAAAAAACAAAATTTTAAGATATAATAACAATAATGAAAATCTATTCTTCCTCCAATCCTGATGCCACATTGTTCTTCAAAAAAGAAAAGAAATATGAGCCATAACACTAGTAGATACATGCACACTAATGTTCATAGTGGCACTATTTACAATAGCAAAAAAATGGAGTCAGGCTAAGTGCTCATCAACTGAAGAATGGATAAACAAACTGTGGTACATACACACAATGGAATATTATGCTACCTTGAAGAATAATAACAAGGAAACTGCAAGCCACCGCATAACATGGATAAAGTTTGAGGACATTATGTTGAGTGAAATTAGTCAGTCACTAAAGGAGAACAATTGCATAGGACCATTATTGTAAAAGACTAAGAAAAATAATCCAAACTAAAGGTGGGGGTGGGGGTGGGATTCTTTGCTGGTTAGCGGCATGTGGTGGGTGGCATAAGGGTAGGGTGTGGAAGGTGGAGCACAGGATAGGGAATAGACACAGGATAGTTTGTGTGCTAGAAGTGGGCAATACACAAGAAGGGGGAGGGGGATGGAAGAACAAGGCTGATGGGAAAACAATTAGGCAGGTTTGCAGGAGATAAGTGGGACAGAGGTAAATAATTATGTATGCACAAGCTTGGAACAACAGGGCTCTGGGATATAGGGATTGAGACATAGTTAGAATGGGCAAAAGGGGGAAAATAATGTATAGATGCTTGGCTGTCTTTTGAATCCTGGTTTCCCTAGCATACCATTATAAAATAGACACTTGATGGGGAGAGAAAGGAATAGCCAGAAACGTCACCATAGATAGCTTGTAAATGTCACCATAGATATCAGTCTTCTGCATAGACTGATTGGAACACCTAAAATAGGGCTACAACGTGTCCAGTGAAGGAGGCTTCCTGCAGACCCTTTGAATTACATAAAACCATAAGGGAATCCTGAACCCCGTCCAGAATCTTCTGAGGTGGGAAATTTCCACTTGAAAGGACAAGCCCAGTCTGGAGTGACTATAAGAACAGAAGATACTTCTTGAAAGAAAGACTGACAGGAAAAATAGAAAACAATAACGGCAGACCACTGATTACTACAAGAACAAGCAAGTTGCTTGCCCAGGAGACATCAAGGCAAGTGGTTGGGTCACTTCACAGCAAACCCCCTTCCAAGACTAAAACTCAATGGGAATACATGAGCAGACATGTGCTCTGATTGGTGACCACGTTCGTCACTGATAAGGGGAAGTGAGGGATAAAACAGCAATGAAGCCGCGAGCTAAGCCCTATCACGTTCAACAGACTTCTGTGAACCCAGGTGGAGACCAGTGTGACAAGGCCTGGGGACTCCTGGGCCCAGAGTCAATGACATAGCCTCAGAGGACTACAGTGGAGAGTAAAGCATCCAGCTGGTAAGAAGAGAAGGCATATACAAAAGAACACCCTCACTTGCAGGTAATACCC